CTAATAGTCAAGCACTTAACCATTGCACCACCCAGAGACTCCTTAATAAAATATAGACCTCACCTTTTCATGCCACAGACATTAATTGAGGGCCAACTATGTGCCAGATGTAGCACTAGACTTTACAGCCACACCAGCAAGTTAGAAATGTGATTGGCAAGTAACATCATGTTCTTTGTTGTTGTTGTTGTTATTTGCCGTCGAGTCAGCCCCGACTCATAGCGACCCCTCCTTGGGTTTCCGAGGCAGTATCACTACGGAAGTAGGATTGCCCAACCTTCCTTCCGAGGAGTTCTTTAGGAAACTATTTGAAGAGAAGAAAGTATGGGAGCCCCATATAGATAAACTCCTATTTGGAAATAAATCCAAAGCCCAACTGAGGACAGATGGACAGTGAGGTGTCAGTGAGGAGTCTACACCTGAGCCCCAGCCAGCACTTACCCACCTCAGGCAGGCTCCTAGCCTCCATCTCCTACATGAAATGAGTGAAGAACTAGAGACATCATTACAGAAGTAGAGTCAAAATCTAGCAAAATTTAGGAAACTCATGCCCAGGTGAAAGAGTGGGTATGATGAACATCTACATTCCTCTTCATAAGTGATTTGCAACAAGGCCCTTGATCTCACCAGCACAATTTCTACTCATTCCTGTCGGCAGTGGTGATGGCCAGAAGGGTTCTGCACTGAGATTGTTGTTAGCACATCTCTCTCTGTCTCTCTCCCCTCCATGTCCCACTTTTGGAGCCATCCTACCTCTTACAGTCCTATCCTTTTCCCTTCATTATGTCTCCATTTTCTGTGGTGAAGTCTGTGGACCATAATGCTTTAACCCTCACCAGTTTAGTTGTTGCATTTGCCCCGAGAGAATCCAACAAATGAGAGTGGCTCCCACTCCTGGTAATGAGGCCAGCAAGATTATTCGGCAGCTCCAGGCTGGCATGCACCCTGCCAGGCTCTGCAGATATGGTCACTAACATGCTGTGCATGAGGGATGGAGGCCTGGGCTTGGGGCAGTCACCTTGAGAGGGAGGATACTCTGACAATAGGTCGTTGTCCCAGCTTCAGGGAGACAACACTTCCTGTTTCCATTGTTCCTTGTAGCACAGTGGTGCTAACAGAGCTTGTCAGACCTGGATTCCTCTCCCTGGAGAGGTATGTGTTCCATGCAGCACAGAGGAGGGGCCAGCTGCAGGGGGTGGAGCCCACCCCCAGTCCTGTCCTCACTGACACCCTGTGAAGGGCCTTCAAGGCGATGCTCTGATCACAGATGCAGGAGAGCATGTGCTCATGAGCAGAGACATGGAGTCAGGAGACCCATGTTCTTGTTCCAACACAGCCTTGTGCTTGGATGACATTTAACAAGTTTCCCACCTCTGTGTCAGTTGTTTTCTCATCTGAAAAATAGAGATGAAGGCAGTGTGTGCCTCCAAGAGTGAGCATGAGATTCATTGGGACACAGTCTGTGGCAGTGCCTGGTACAAAGCACATAACTCTAGTTGCCAAGCTCAGTGTTAGCATGATTCACTGTGCAGTCGCCCACTCCCTCCCCCCATCTCCAGGCACAGGCCTTGCTAGGACTCCTGGACAGCCTGGCTATGCCCACCTAGGATGTCAGACACCAGCAGACACCTCTGGGTGGCCAAGTGATTTTCATATTTTCCCCAGTAATTGTCCATCAGATTGTGTTTGTTTGTTCATTGAACTTATGAGAAATACCTGCATTGTCATGTCACAGGGCTGGAGGAGCATCAGGTATAATCTAAGGTGGAAGGAGAGAGAGCACCCTTCAACATTGTAGGGGAGCCAGGCCAGCCCTGAGAGTGCACCAGAGTAGAAACCACAAGACCTGAGCCCAGTCCCAGCACCTGCATCAGTCACTTCCCCTCTCTGGGCCTCAGTGTCCTCTTATGAAATGTGTCTGGGAACAGGAAGAAGGAACATCCAGGCTCCCTCACCCTGGATTAACACTTTGTCCCCTTACCTGGCCTTTCCAACTCAGGCAAGGAGAACCATCCTGATTCTATTCAGAGGCACACAGTACAATGTCAGAGGTGCAGGGAGGGGGGAGAGTTAGCTCAGAGAGGAGAAAGTTAAGGGCATCTCATCCAGGGAGGGACACACTGAGGGGGCCCTGCTTCCCACTCAGGGCTGATGGGGAAGCAGAGATAAGTGAGAGTGACCAGCCAAGGGATGGTGCTGATAGGGACCAGGACAGTTTGGGCTCTCAGCCTGCAGCCTCAGCCTTGCTCTGGGAGGAGTGACTGGCTATGGTAGAAATAAGGCGAGGGGGCATTACAGTCTGGGTGTTGGTTTCCCCAGCTCTGCCCACTCCGGTTCTGCCTGAGAGAGCCAGGGCATTGGGCTTGGGTTATGGGGCCTTGGGTTCCAGTCCCAGCTCAGGGAGCTCACACAGGTCAAGGATGGCATCCCTGTGGCCCCCACACCTCATCTGTGAAGTGAGGCAGCCTATGAGTTAGTACTTCTTTGCTTGCAAATAACAGAAACCAGTCCAGATGAACTTTAGCACAAAGAGTAATTTTATACCAGACTGCAGGGTGCCTCATGCAGGCAGAGATGCTGCCAGTCCCAACTATTGAGGCCCGAGGGTCTCTAATGCTGTCAGAATGCCCTCCGTGCCCCCCCCCCTTCCTCCTGTGCAGCACTTGATGCTCTCATGGTGGTCCATGGCTGTTGGCAGCTCCCAAGTTCACGTCACAGCCCAGGACACCTAGAAAGGCTGGGATCCTCCCCATCTCTCTCCCCCTCTCATCTCTCCTTCTCAGTACCCACCCAAACCATCAACGGTGGTTGGGTGACAAAACCACTTGTCTGAGTCTCTGCCCTACAGGGCAGTGGAAAGTGTTAGGGATGCTCTGTGCTTCAGCCACAATATGCAGTGTGGGACTCACTGCCCAGCCAGCGAGGGCAGAACTAAGACCAGAGTGTCCACTAGGTCCGAGAGCAAGGGACAACAGCAGCCATCCTCTCCCCTCCTGTAGGCACAAGGGCCAAGTGCCTCCCTGCAGGGCGGCCAGCAGTCTTCCTGTAGACTGGAGGAATGTCTCCCCTCTCCCCTCCGCAGTTCCGCTCTGCTTGCTCCTGAACAGATGATAACAGAGATGGAGCATATGGGCCCCAAAGTCACCTGGCATTCTGGGAAAGTGACACTGTTACCCCAGGCTTGGGGGGAGGGGGCCGTTGGCTCCTGAGCACAGCTTCTGCCTTTGTTCTGCAGAAGGGCAAGGGGTCACCTCTCCTGAGCCTCCTGAAAAGGCACTCTGCACACTCTCACTTTAGGGAGAATTTTCTCTCTCCAGGCAGCGGTCTAGGAAAGCAGGTCTAGACTGGGCAGATATGGAGGGAACATTTGGGCCTCTCCTGCCTCAGCCCCACACCCAGGCCTGAGCTGCCTGCTAAGCACCCACCCAATCTGACCTCCACCTTCGCTTCAGCTGCCATTTACATCAGCCTCCCCTCCCTCAGGAGTCCTGCAGGTGTATTGGGAACTCCCACGGAATTCCATGGCACTCACAGCAGGGGTCTGGGTGGGCCCAGGCACAGCTTCACCACAGTGCTTCATGGAGCCCTCCCTGAGGAGATACCCTTGACTGTCTCCTCTCCAAGCTGAGTTTCCTCCCTCCCTGCACCTCTGAGTTAGAACCAGGCAGAGTGCTCCCAGGAATGTTCTTGCCTGAGTTGGAAAGGCCGGGTAAGGGGACAAAGTGTCAATCCAGGGCAAGGGAGCCTGGGGGTTCCTTATTCCTGTCCCCAGAGACATCTCAGGTCTGACCTGTGGTCCTGGTGAGCCACACAGACCCCTTTCCCTGCTTCAAACCAGGCCTTGAGTGCTCCCACAGACCCCTGGATTGGGGTGCCCAGGGCATCTGAGCACCATATTATATCATGCAAAATGAATATGAGGAGCTCCTGGTGAGGCAGCCACCTGCCAGGGAGGGCCTGTGGTCTCAGCTGCCAGTACTGGAAAAGCAGCCCTGGAAGCCACGCCCAAGCCAGGGGTCAGGGGTCGGGGAAGGAAGGGAAGGTGGCAGGGAGCCCTCAGCACTGCTCTCCCCCAGCATCCCCTAAGTGTGCTGTCCCTGACCTCACCCAGGACCAAGGACCCACTGTGTCTTCCAGAGCCTCGCCATTTTCCATGCAAGTACACAGTTTGGGGTAGGGGAGGAAGCCCCAGGTGTAGGTTCCCTAGCAGGGAAGCAACTTGGGGAATGGAAGGCTTTTCTATTTTCCTTTGACTTGTTGCCAGGGTGGCTCAGTGGCTGCCCCTTCTTTTCCCTGACCTCTCTTGGGAACTCCCTGGAGGCCCTGAGATTGTGAGTAAATTTTGATGCCCCATGTCAGCAGGGAGAGGACTGGCTAAAAAGGACCTGGCCTAGAGACAGACCACCGGAACACAGTGCCAGCCCTTCCCGAGTTGAGCTCCAGCAGGAACTTCTCACCAGGAACCAGCGTGGATCCACACACACCAGTGCCTTCCTCCTCCCCCTGGCTACTTTGCCTGCCCTCCACTGGTGGATGGTGATTTATTTATAGGAGCACTTCAGACAAAGAAGATTAAAAGGGGTTGACATGCCCTGAGACAAGATGATTCTTTGGTCTCTGGGCAGCCAGTGGACTGGAAAGCTGGCAGCGCTGGGGCCAGGTCACACCGAACAACATGTGAGGATGCTGTACAAGGAGGGGCCAGGCAGGTGGGATGTTCACAGGCCCCACCTTAAGGTGCTGTCAGGCTGCTTGGAGTTTCAGGAATAGGCAGCAGAGCACCAGGCAGGATCTGAGCTGTGCCAGTGAGTGCTCCAGACACAGGTGTCGTGGCCCTGCCTGGGGCCTCTGTTATCTAGGCTGTGAATGGGCAGATAGCTCCCTTCTTAAATGCATGGGGCTACTGGGAAAAAGACATGCTGTCTAGGTCAATAATACGCCTTGGAAAGTGTGATGTGCAAGTCTGGGGACCACCTGTCTCAACCTGCTCTTTCTTACAGGGCCACCCGTTCATCGTGCAGTTCAACGATGGGAATGCCACCGTGGTGTCCATGTGGGTGTGCAGGGCACTGGAGGAGAGGCGGAGCCAGCAGGGGCCCCTGTGAGGCCTCAGGGGTGCTGAAAGCCCAGAATTGGAGACCAAGTGACAACCCCGCCTGTTGCCCCTCTCTCCGTCTGCTGCCTGCACCAGAAGAGCTTTACTGGGCCCCAGCTTCCTTGCTCTCTTGCCTTCGACTCTGCAGGCAGATGGCTCCAACTCCCACATCCAGACCTTGCCTGGGGTGTCTTCAGGGGTAACCAGCCCCTGCCCAGGCAAGCGCTCACCCCTCTGATCTGGAGGCACTGGGCCTGAAAGGGTGGGGCAGTGAGAGTGGAGGCTCCTACTGCCCCTTGTACCCCTCTGTGTCCTTAACATTTTTAGTTGTAAGGGTCAGGCCCTGTCAGCCTCCGCTGAGGGGAATAAAGTACCACTGCTTTGTGACGCCTCCCCCCAGAGGGTTGCATGGTGCAGTCAGTCTGTTGCCTACAACAGGGCAGGAGGTGGAAGGCTCTCCTCGCAGAAGGAGCATGCTGCCCTTCCCCAGGCACCTGCAGGTGCCCCCACCAACCCAGCCCATCTGCCTGAGGAAAAACCAAGACGAGAAGATTCTCCAAACCAAGTCCCAGAGGAGTGTGGAGCAGGACTAGAGGCCTGAGCTCCAAACTCCCGTCCGTGCCCCTAACAGGACTGGCGTATGATTCTCACCTGTTTGTCAGCCCCACACACCTGAGGGCTGAGAGCTCCTGGAGCAACACTGGCTCTGACAGCAGTGATCTGGACCCGGGGAAGCTGGGGAAGGAGCAGGAGCCTGAGAGTTTAAAAAATGCCCAGGCACTTCTGAGAGGCCCTTCTCTACCCACCCGCCCCTGCACCCACCACCAGCTCCTCTCCAAAGCAAGCTGCCCCTCAGTTCCTTTGCCCCACACCCACCAATGGTCACTTACCTCAGACCATTCACAGCCATCTTCTCAGGTGATCTTCTCAACCTCTGCCAGGCAAGGGTGGTTCTCCCCACTTTACAAGCAAGGAACTGAGGCTCAAAGAGGCTCAGGCTTGCACTTGGAGGCCTAAGTCCATCTCAACACATCCAGCAGCAAATGCCTGAGCCCCACCCACATTCAAAGCCTCCTCCCACTACTTTCCCATCTCATTTAATGGCCCAAGCCAAGACACTAGGACCCCTTTCTCTTTAACAGCCCCCCCACCCAGCTAACCAGGAAATACTGTTCTCTTTGGGAGCTCTGGTAGCATAGTGGCTAAGGCACTTGACTGCTAACCAGAAGGCTGGCGGTTCAAACCCACCAGCCACTCCTCGGAAGGAAGGTTGGACATTCCTACTTCCGTAGTGATACTGCCTTGGAAACCCAACTGTTCTCTTTACCTTCAAAAATATATTATTGATTCCACCACTTCCTGCCCTGGTCCCAGCCACCATCACCTCTCATTAGGACCAAAACAGCAGCCTCCTAGCAGGCTCCCTGCTCCAGCCCCACACCCTACAGCCTGTTCTCTACGAGGCAGCTAGAGAGGAGCTGCTTAAAACAAGGCAGATCATGTCTCTCCCCTGCTCAGACCCTCCTAGGCTCCTGGCTCGCTCAGAGCACAAGCCAAAGACCCAGCAGTGGCCTTTGTAACTCTATACAATCTTCCCCCCATTATCTCTGACCCCAACTCCCCTCTCTCCCTCCATTCTCACTCTTCTCCAGCCAGCTGGCCTTCTGATCCTTGAACATGCAAGCACACTCCTACCTGAGGGCTGTGACAGGGACATGCAGCTGCCACCAAAGACTCATGCTCCCTCCTCCATCATGTAGAGAGAGCTGTCTCTGGGAAGCCACTGCCCAACCAGGACCACATTTATCAGTCCCTCCTTGCATTCACCAGGGCCATGTGTCTAGTTCTCATCAGTGGGATAAGAGCTCATGGTATGTTGCTTCCTGGCCAAGGAGCTTAAGGTGCAGATGTGCCTTCTCTATGACCTCTTTCCCCATCTTCTTGCTGGATGAAAATGACACTGGGTGGGTGGTGGAGGAAGGCTGAGCCACAGGTGCAAGGACCCTGAGATGCTGAGTCACCACATGGAGGCAACATGCTGCCCCAAGGAATACCCACACTGCACTATAAAATGAGGTAGAACTAAGTCACTTTGTTTTGGGTTGTATATGTTGCTGAAAAACAAAAAACCATTGTTGTCGAGTCGATTCTAATTCATGGTGACCCCATGTGTTACAGAGTAAGACTGTGCTCCATAGGGTAATATGGAGCTATAATCTTTATGAAAGCAGCTCACCAGGCCTTTCTTCTGTGGAGCCTCTTAGTGGGTTTGAACTGCCAACCTTTAGGTTAGCAGCCAATTATGAACTCCTTGCAGCATCCAGGGACCCTCACACACACACACTCACTGCCAGCAAGTCGATTCTGACTCACAGCAACCCCATTGGGTTTCCAAGGAGGTAAATCTTTACGGAAGTAGATTGCCCAGTCTTCCTTCTGCAAAGTGGCTGGTGGTTTTGAACTGCCAATCTTCTGGTTAGCAGTCAAGTGCCTTAGGCACTGTGCCACCAGAGCTTCTTTCAGAAACCCTAGTGGCTAGTATTTTGACAACTAACATAGGCCTTTGCACCTGGTGCCTGCAGCACTCTCTCCCCCTATATCCAGACAACCCACTCCTATGGCCTCCAGATCTTTGCTCAAATGGGATCTCCATGAGACCTGACCTGAGCCGCACCTGCTCCTTGGAACTTGTGTTCACCTTCCATGGGCCATCTTCCTCCACTGCATTTGTAACTATATGACGTACCACCTATTTTACTTATTTATTTTATCTTCTGTCTCCTCCCTAGCCCTATTAGAATGTAAGCTCCACAAGGGCAGGAATTTTGGTCTGGTTTGTTCACACTGTATCCCCAGTTCCAAGAACAGCCCAGCATAGTAGGTGCACAATAAATATTTGTTGACTCAGTAGCCAATGTGGTGGAGCTGTGATTCCCAACCCACACTCAGTCCATTGCCCCAGGAAAGGACCGCCTTATGTGAGGCAGCACTTTGTTTTCCTGGGTAAGTCAGAGTTGTCGTATTTTAATAACACTTTTCTTCAAGGTGGTAAAGGCCTCCAGCTGCCAGGGGCATCAGTCATGTCAGGGGCATCTTGCTGAGTTCATGCCCTGGAGCTGGGAGAGCCCAGAGTTAGATGAGGCCTAGGATGTAAGGGCTATGTTCCCCAGGTCAGTGCTCAGGGCAGGAGAGAGCTGAGAGGGACATAGCTTATAGGTTTCTGTGGACAAAGTTCTTTGTGAGTGAGGAAGCTCACCCAGAGGGACCTGACCACCCCCAGAACATGAGCCTGCTACTACCCAGACTTAAAACTTATTTTAAGAAGAGCCATAGCAAGCCTGTCACCCCCAAGTCCCAAGTCAGGGAAATGGGGAAAATGGTGCAGGTCCCCCATGCCGGACTTTGTGCCAAGGGCATTACTTCATTAATCCACACAACAGTCCCATGAAATAAGTAGTAGTATTCTGCCCATTTTACAGATGGAGAAACTGAAGCCCAGCAAGACCAGGTGTCTTGTGTGAGGTCATGCAACAAGCGAGTAGCAAAGCACTGTTAGGAGCTCAGAGCACCACTCTGATCCTGGTTCCAGAAGCTACCTCTACAAGCACCTCCCACACATGCACACACATGCATACACATGTCCGTCCTCTAGCATAGACGCTCCCACACTCCAGTGTCATAGATGCTATATCAGGACCTTTGGGAGTGGGACCTGGATCTGTACCTTGACCATATCCCTGGGGATATGGATGCCAAGAAACATTGCTTTAGAGGCAGCAGACGTACCTGGTCCTAGGGGTGAAGTATGTCTTCTCTATGAGCCTCATCTAGAAATGAGTCCTCTATGAGTTTCTTCATCTAGAAGTGCAAGAGTTGATCTCTCGGACTGGTGTTCCAGAGCAGGAGTTCTCCCTATTGGGGGCTATAGACCTCTGTGAGCATCACACAAAAGTGAGATCCTTAACTTCAAAATAGTGTGCATCCATATACATACATACATGCACACACCTCAGTTTTGTCACAACTTTAGAGTTTATAGATCCTACCCACTCATCATGGACCTCGGGCTGAGAGCCTGTGCTTTGGGAAAGCCGCCAAGGCCTAAGTTTCCCACTGGCTCTCAGTCTTGGGAAGATGGGAGCTGTGTGGCCCCTGAAAGGTCTCCTTCTAAGACTTTTGGTGAGGGCAGGTCCCTCTTTGGTCTGTTAAGGCTCAGTCATCCTTCACTGTCCCCAAGGCCAAGCTGTCCTTGCCCTCAGAGGTCTTGGAGAGCTGAGTCCTCTGGCATACAGTGGGGCAAGAATGCGCTCTTCTATCTGCCCAAACACCACCCCACGCACCCTCACCCTGTCCACATGGCCAACTCCTAGTACCCCTTTCAAAAAAAAAAAACCACCGTCAAGTAGATTGTAACTTATAGCGACCCCTCCTTGGGTTTCTGAGACAGTATCTCTATAGCAATTGATTGCCCAATCTTCCTTCCAAGGAGTGGCTGGTGGATTTGACCAACCAACCTTCTGGTTAGTAGTTAAGTGCCTTAGGCACTACACCACCAGAGCTCTTTAGTACCCCTTTCAAGCCCCACTCAAATAGTACCTCCTCTGGATACAGACCTCTGGGAAAACCTAGTCAATAGCCCCCGACCAGACTGTAAGCCCCTCAAGGGCAGAGATGAGTCTGACTTATCTCTGTCCTCACTACTTGGCACACATCCAGCATGGGGAAAGAGCTTTGAGGTGTGGGAGGAATGGTGCCTCAGGCCCAAGGCCCTGGGGCAGCTCCTTCTCCCCAAGACCTGCCACTGCCCTCCAACCTGTAATCACACCCACTTGTCTTCTAACCAGAGCCTCCTAGAGACAAGACTTTCATAGCATGAAGCCTCGGTCCTTTCAGACCTTCAGGAAAGCCTAGAGGGGAGAATTTCTGGGGTATGAGGGTCCTCACGGGGCCCTCAGGTCACATTGGGAGGCAGATGACTCCTCTACAAACACACTGGCCTGGAGTCCCCATGTCTAGGGCCCTGGTATAGAAGCATGGAGGCCACCTCAGTGCTCAGCCCATCAACCTGGACAGTGCACGTTAGAGTTCCTGGGCTTTAGCGATCCTCCCAGAAGGCAATGGGGCCAGAGGGAGGAAAG